CCCTATGCAGTCATCTACGTTGTAGCACTTTTTGGTGGAATGTTTCATGGAAGTCCATGGAATTCCATGAAGCATTCCATGGAAAGGTCCATGGAAAAGACCATGAGATTCCATGAAACATTCCATGGAAGTCCATGGAAGTCCGTGGAAAAAATGAAACTTGTCATGGGATGGAAGCCCGTGGAAGTCCAAAAAAGATTTCATGATTGTTGTTGTTGTTTTGTCTTCACATTAAAAACCGTTCCGATCTCTCCACAGTACCCCACTACCTTCGTCTGTCCGTACAGATCAATACCGTCTGCGAAATGTGTCGCGGGCATTCATTAAAGATTCCGTAGAACCCCACGAGCGCTCATGAAACACTTCATGGATGTACATTGCCCACGTTCCATGACACATTCCGTGAGCGTTGGGCGTTCATGAATGAATGCATGTTGTCGAATGCCCATGAAATGTTTTCATGAAATGTTTAGCGACACGCTTTGATTTATTTTCATGGAATGTTTCATGACACATATGTCATGGACATCCATGGAAATATTAACGAACGTTCGTGGAATTCCATGGACTTGCATGAACAAAATGATGCGGAGTAGGGGAGGGGAAGGAAGGAAATAAACGACACCTCCTCCAGAAGCGAACATGAGACATGAGAATGAGATGATGAGAAATGGTCCACGCGAAAGATAAGGTTGGCTCTGTTTGAACTTTTCTCCTGCCACTTTCCACACCACGCCATCCAATGGGGTCGGTCTAGTTTTTTTGGGTCCGCCACCATTGTGTGTTTATGCCAGCGGCAGTGCTGTTATGTGCCGATGTTTTGGCGGTACAACATTGCTGAAGCAAGGCGACGTGAGTCACGACGTGTGTGTGCATTTGACACTTTAGCGGGGAGCGGGGGCAACAGTCTTAAAGATCCGGAAATCTGGAAGCATAGCAAATGGACTACTACAAGTGACGCATTGCAAACTCCGGCTTCCTGGTGTTAGGGGTCCATATCTTCAGGAATTCCTGAAGATCGAGTTTGAAATGTCAAACGGTCTATTCTATTCGCAAAATCACCAGTGAATCTTCCATGACCGATGAAATCATGGGAGGGCACTTTTGCCCCCGATGCCCGATGGTGATTTTATCAGAAAGGATCTTCACGACTGCTGTGCCCGCTCTCCCCGCTCTCATCATCTCTTCATCAACTGGAGCACCACTCCGCCCAGCTACAGCAGTACATCATCAGCAATACCAGCAATACCGCCAGACGATCGGCACCTAACACGCTTCCACCGGTGTAAATGAATAATGGTGGCGGACACACATACTCGATACAGCCCATCAGGCATCGCGGTGTGGAAAAAGACAGCAGCAGCACAGCGCAAACAGCACCTAGCCGTCCCTGCGTGTCGCGTGGGCAATTGTGTCCTGACATCGCAGGTCTCGTATGTTCCACTTATTCACCTTGTCCACCGCCCTATCTATTCTGGTCCTGCGAAGGACACCATAAATATCGTTACGAGAGTCTCTTGCCGACGGTGTCACCAGCACCAACACGTCGACTCCGCTCTCTGTTGTTGCTGCTGCTGCTGCTGAAGCAAGACTCTTCATCTCACCAGTACATTTTGTATCATCTTTTTTCTCGCGTTTTTCTTTCATGCATACATGTATTGCAATATTTTCAACCATCAACATCATCATCGAGAGTGCGTAGCCAGAGACCTGGTGTGCACCAGGTCTGTTGTTACTACTGCCGTTGTTGTACTTTCACATACGGGGGGGATTGGGCCATGACGGGTGCGTTTCTGCTGGTGGTGCGAGACGTTGCTGCGTTTCCAACAGCAAGACTCCAATATTAAGAGGTTTTCCAACGGCAAGAAGAAGAGCACCTTCGACGAAGACTCTCACGCGTTGTGTTGTTGTGTATGTTGCCAGAGAGATAGCTGTTAATGCTGTGCTTTCACATACAGGGGAGATTGGGCCATGACCGGTGGTTTCTACGGATGTACGAGACGTTGCTGCTACGTTTGCAGCCGCTGTGTGCATGTGTGCATCTGCATATGCATATACAAGGCGTCCCTCCGAAGTGGGGTAAAGAGAGCACCGCGGCAGGGGGTGATGCAAGAACATGCAAAAAGCAAACGAAGATATAGATTATAGAGTACACACTGTTCGTTCCTTCCACTCTCCGCATTCGCCGTGGTTCTTTCTGATGCTGCGTCTCCCACCGCCGCGGATTCCAGGCCGCCAAACGACTTGAAATTCATCAGAGTCGTTTTGTCGCACAGGAAACACACACACACACCCTCGCCACAGGCGGGCGGAGAAGCGTTGTATTCGCGCGTTTAGCATGCAAACAGTATGTTGTAGGGCAGTGACCGTAGCATCATTGGTGTGTGTCGCAGATTCCGGAGAAAAGAAGAGGCCACATGAATGTGGATGGATTTTTTGCGAAGCAAGAAGGTGGGGCGGATCTACAGAAGCCGAAATCAAACCATTAGACAGCTCTGATGGTTTGATTTCGGCTTCTCTACAAGTTTGTCGTGGGTTCGAGACCCAGGCTGGCCACTTTGAAGTAGTTTTTTTCCTGAGACCCTGGATACTCTCGGCCAGAATATGGGTGACGGAAGGACTCGTGGACCCTGGAACATTCTGCAGGATATGGGTGACGAGTGATGTGAAGCGAAATAAAGATTGGACGGATAGTAGCGCTGGCAAGGAAAGTCACCCTCCTCGGAAGTGAAAGTGACGGGGCTCACGAACCCCACGACTAACTTTTATAGAGGCCGAAATCAAACCATTAGACTAGTCAGGCTGACTAGTCTAATGGTTTGATTTCGGCTTATAGATGGAGACAGGAGCAGCGCGCGCGTGTGTGTGTGTTTTTTCAAAACATTCAAAGAAAGATGGATACACGTAAGCAGACGCAGCCAAACTATCACGCAGTACATACTGCATACACGCATGTACGTACTGTGCACCCACCACGACGGGGGAAACAATTTCAATTAGACGGGTGGTGAACTTAAAAAACGTATGCATATTTCGAAACGAACTCACGTCCGCAGCGACCTGGGTGCAAAACTATTTTGTCACTATTTGTTCTCCGTTCATATGCATGCAACGTCGTTCTATGTTCGGTCCAACGTTCCGGCGTTGTGCAAGCTGTGCTGCTGCGGGTCGTGGGTGCTTGTTAGCCACAAGTAAGTACCACAGCGTTTGTTTGCCTGTGCCTCACGAAGGGTGAGAGCCAGGGAGATGGTGTAATAATGCCATATGAGCAAGACCCGAGCAGCAGAATACAACAGCAGCTCCAGCACAGCGGCACAAACGTGGGAGTCGATGACACCACTAGAAACGAGAAAACCAACAAACAGGCGACGGGTGTTGTTCTGAGTTGAAGAGAGGGCAAATGGGACCAACCGAAACACAGCTAACCTCGCACCATCAATCAGCGGCGCTTTGAGCCACAACGGCATCCCACCACTTAGATTGCTACAGTACTTGAATGGCCTACCCGCTTTACTAAGCGGTTCAGACCTTTCTCGCAGACGGGCGTGTTTGTTGTGTTCCTCCAGCGTGCGCAACCATGACTACAGACGCGTGCGTTTCCGAAAACTGCTGTAATACGGATACCTGTGACCAAGCAAGGTGTTCTTCGCTGTTCTACCCGCTACTGCTGTGCTGGAAAGACGAAAATAATGTTACAGCTGCTTCAAAGAACATGAAAGACTCTCGAAGTCGAAAAGCCGCCTGGAAACAGAGGGAAATGGACACCCGAACAGCCTCCACTGCTAACGACCAGCCAACACAAATGTATTACTGTACATATATCCATATGTTGACGTTTATGTTTTTTTTTTTTGGTGCGCGGAACGTGTGCGCAGCTTGTTGAGGTTCTGAAATTCCGATTCGCATGGCCGGACGCGTCATAATTTCTGGTGATGGGACGCACAAACACCAGGACCGCAAGTGTGCAATCCAATTAGCCTGTATCCCGATGAAGTCACGAGGACGCGTACACAGTCGAATATCACCCTAGCACCAGGAAGCTCGAGTTTGCAAGGCGTCACAGGTATTGAGTCGTACCCCGCGGCTCATTGCCCCGCCCTACTACTACTATGCCGCCACGGTTGCGGGCGAATTGCGGGCGAACTCGCCATAATTCGAAAGCGTTCACTTTGATTTTTCATGCCACCCTATCAAGCACGCATAGACCTTACCACCTCATACCACCGACGGGCGTTCACCATTCTATCACGTCCAATCAATATTCAAGTGCGGATCACTTCCGCATTTCATCACATCACAGGTGATACAGTGGTAAGCCCAAACAATGGTTGTTCATACCCTACTGTATTCACGCGGAGGGCGACATGTGGACCTGAGCGAAATGCACTTTTTGTATACGAATCCCCAACCTACTATTGCGGCGAAAGGGTTTTCGAGGTATCCACCTAGAACCAACTCCTAAGGTGTCTCCAAGGTGTGTTGGGATTTCCGTGTACGATATAGTGTTTTTTTTTACGGCTCAGTGTCGATCGTGGAGACCTCCTTCGAAAAGGTGCACAAGGCCGATCCGCAAAAAATCTCAAGGTGTGCGAATGAAGCATCAAGCCTGTCCTGGCGGTATATGTGCTATGCGGACAATTTACATTAGTATGGGCACCTATGGACCTGGAGTACTTGTAAAATTTGTGCAGTATTAACTTTGTCGATCAGCTGTTACGAGCAATAATCATCAGGAAGACGACGAGAAATAGCGGGAGGTGGTGTCAGAGGTGGCGACATGTGTGTTGCTGTTATTTTGTAGGAGCACTTCACAACACACAGCATCGAGGGTACGTTGGCTCTGGCATAGTGTATGTCACCCTTGCGGCGCCCAGATGGACACCTCACGCTTCTCGCTCAGAGTACCTGATATCCAACTCCACACCATTCTGACAGATTGTTGCCGTTTCTGTTCTGCTGTGCCGGCAGTTCAATCACTTTTTGCGGCACTTCAGGCAAATATGCACCGCGCAGCAAGTGACTCTGGGGAGTCACGAGGTCACTCCCGAGATCCTGGCAGCAGCGATAGCGACGAGGAAGACACGAACGTTGACACCATGGATCTGCAAGAAGCCGGTAAGATGGCAGTCCCACCGCGACACCCTCTTTGTTCTGGTGGTGGTGGTTGAAGTACAGCAGCTGAAACACAGCGATTTTGTGTGGTTAGAGGTATCAAGCAACCTCGCGGAGCTGTCTAGTACTGGCTGGCTCCACTCAGTCTCCCCTGATTAACTCTAATGCGAATCATGGGCGAAAAAGGCTGGACAACACTTTGGACAGCTGTTATTTTTTCTGAATAGCACGTGCTACCTTTTTTTGCACGGAGATGCAGGAGCTGTGACGTAGATACCTCTATCGATCCCAAACAGGCTTGTTCGAAGTTGTGGTATTCGCTACAGGTAAACCGGAAAATATGAAAGGGCAGATTTCCGCTGGCCGGAAGACTCCGCACAACTGTCACTGCGTAACGTATACTCAAGTGTTAGGTTTGTCGTTTCTTCGTGTTGGATGCAGACCGCAATGTCCGTGGTAGTTGTTTGTACAGTGTTGTGTCAGCCTGTCCATCCTGAGAATCCCCGCGCGTCCCATTCTTTTGTGACCCGTGCGCTCTTGGTGAAGGAGATGAGCGAAGCGGCAGCCGGAGCCGCAGCCGAACCCGAAACGTGAGGCGATTGAAAATGGAATGGGATGACTTGAGAGCATAAGATTGTGGATGCAGCAGTCATTTCAAAATGTGTATCATGGCGCTACTTTCAACGATCGCATCAAATATTCAGTTTTGCAGCTTCCGGCGTAATGAAGAGTCAAGCACCAACAGCTCATTCTTTCCGCGGTCCTTAGGCCACACGAGCTTTTCGTGCCAGTTATCGACGTTGATGCTCTAGCTAGTGTTTCCGTTGGTTTCGTGGCACCGCATAGATCAGTATGATGGACATGCGCAGAACGTGGGCTTCTGGGACGCCATATTGGTGGAAGCGACGACGGCAAGGTGGTAAGATGTCTTTCAAACGTTCGACAAGACTGCTTGTTTGCCCTTCGGCTTGTTGATATGGAAGGGCTGGGCAACAGATAGCCAAGGCGAGGCGTCTACCATCGCGGTCAAGCTGCACGACAAAACCCGCATTGGGGACAGCTATCAGGCTGTCACAATTCCCGGGCTACGCGCTCGCACGGCGGAAGCAAAACAGGAGGACTTGAAAATTGCACCCGAGAAGGTGAGACAATGGTGCCTGCCAATGTTGGAGTTTTGTATTCGTTCATCTGACGTTGCAAACATAGGGCGGTACTATTCAGAAGGAACACCCATAGGCAAGTTCGAACTCACCCTCACGGTTGTGTTGTTCTCACGCAGGACCACCTGCTGTGGGACTCGTCTCGTGCTCCTGATGAGCGCCGCCTGCAACAGCTCGTTAAGGTATGTGGTAGTACTCTGGAGTCAAGTTTGCCAATTTTGCTCCCATGATTACCCTCGTTTCCTTATGCTCGAAGTACCGTATCATCTGTTCTACCCTATGCTAACGAAGGTTGCACCCGAAACATGGACGATTGGGAACACCCAGGTAGCTGTGGAAGCTAATAACCCCCACCTACAAAGGTTGTCTCCTCGAAGATAGCTACTTTTCTTGTCTCTCAAATTTGGGGTGAGTCACATAATAGGGGGGGTAAACGCAGGAGAGCGGTAACACGAAGCGATAGATACATATGTAGACTTTTGCCTTCTCGGTTCCTGCCAGCGCTTACTCGCGGACGCATGTGTCGGTTGTTGTGTACGTGTGTGCACAGCGGCTTCGCATCGGTTCAGGAAGAGACGACGGTGGGCGGCCAACCAGCCTCCTCACACATGCGGACGTCGTGGCAGCTCTACACCGCTGCAAATACGATCCTGCTTCAGCAGAAGCCTCGTTGGTTGGCCTTCAACGACGCAGAGAGACCAAACACAAAAGCGCATCTGCCAGCGGCGATGCGCGCAAGTTGCAACATAGCAGGGGCGACGTTTCGGCGGAAGCAGCGACGTCACCTGAGGACAGTGCGACGGCGCAGAAGAGCAGCAACCAAATCAGCTCAATTGCTCCTGGCGGTGAACCGTGTACGGGGAAAAGCGATGTTGGGGGCAACCGGTGGGAAGACTGGAGCGAAGCTGACCGAGCGACATTCCTAGTACATCTTGGGGACAAGGTCTGTGTCCCGGAAGCTTGTCTCAACTTGTCGCGTACTGTCTCTGCATATTTCCCTCCTTTTTTTGCAGCTGTTCATGCTGCGGCACAGTCCTTGTAAGGTGGGTCTGTTCCCACGTCGGAGTTCTGAAACTATGCCATACCATACAATGCCATGCCCGTTGCACCAACACATTTTGTGTGTCAATTGCTTGCTCCTATTTCCAGCACAAGGACATGAATGATGTGGCGGAGGAGTTTGCGACGAAGAGCCACGGTGATGTCATCGAGTTCTACTACAACTGGAAATTTCATGAACCAGACTACTCTCGCTGGCAACTCATGAAACGGCAGATTGACATAGCCTTGGTGAGCTGTACGCGATTCTTTCAGTCATTTAAACCTGTTGGCGATTTCAGGAGTCGTCCCTCTGTCCATTCGCCGATCTTGCTGCACTGCATATGACGTACGACGTTTATCAAAGAAACATAGAGTAGCTTCCTCCGTGCGCAAGTGGTACCTATAACAACGGTGAATGGTGGAAGTTGCTTGTAGCAGCCTTCCACCACAAGAAGGAAGTGATATTAACGCTACTTTGTCACGAGCACGCCGTTCCCAGGTATGCATGAGCATAAGTACCCCGATCACCCCCATACCAACCTCAACTTCGTGCGGTGTACAGACGTTTCCGGACTTCCATCAGGATATATGTGAAGCTTGCGAGGAGGGAGGAGAATTGCTGTTGTGCGACACTTGCAGCCTTGCCTTTCACTTGCGCTGCTTGAATCCGGGCCTTGAGGAACCTCCAGATGTGCGTGTATGTCAATGTTTCCAATAAATGTCTATGTCTGAGAATTTAATTTGCTCGTTGTTGTCTCAAGTGGTTGGGAAGTCGAAGCTGATGTTTCGGCAACCTTGATTTTGTACGCAATGCTTGAGCACAACAACGTGCTGTAAGTGGTTGGGTCGCGAGCAAACCTCTGGTCCAGCTTGACATTGGCACTCCAACGTTTTCTACAACGCACAAGAAACGCTTTTCCTTACATGTGCTTGGTGGTTTGTGAGATGTTGGGCGGATGCACATGATGCAACCTAGTCCTTCGCTGATTTGCCTCGCATCTCGTATGTCGTGGTCGTCATCATGTTTGCAGAATGACTGGAGCTGTCCTGAATGCACGAGGAAGCACGTAACGCCGGAGACCAGGGTAAGGGCCCCATTTTTTATGGGAAAAGTCGAAAATTCATCGTTCGTTTGTTCGCATGGCTTTTGCAGCAATAAGCATCTGGAGCCAAGGTTACCAACGTCGGGTTAATTTTTGGGAGGAGGGATGCGAAGAGGACGCCATGGATACAAGGTTAGCCCAAAATTGACCTTTCCATAAAAGGATCACCAGGTCATGAGAAGACCATCACCGTAAGCTTTGCCTCATGGTTCATCTCTGGGCGCGAGATGGCGAGACCGTAAGTCGGGCTCTTACCATGGTATGAACAGTCGTTAGAGACTGCAGCACCAGATAAAAACAGAGCCGGCTGCTGCCGTCGGCCACGGTGTTGTGTTTGAAAGTATGAAAGTATTTTCTCTCTGGTTTTTCTACCGTATTCTTGAACATGGGGCGAGCGAGGACCGTGGCAACGCTGCCTGCGTGAGGTCTGCTTTGACCTGTAGTCCGTGTCGGGTTGCAGTACTGCTGTGTGTGTTAAGGGCTCTACCGTCTGGTGGAAATCTTGGTAGTTTCCTTTCAGAACCAAGAGAGCACTATTTTGCCGACTACAGGCTTTTAGTTTGCGACAAGAGGTTGAGAATTCCACCAAGCTCTCGCTTAAACAAGGACCGAGCGCCCTTTAGTTGAGCTCCCCTAGTAGAGGCAGCCGTGGGTGCGAATGGATTACCACTGCTTGAGGTATTTAGGTAGAAACTCATGGTCGTGCGCTGATTGCCCCATGTTCGGGATAGCTGGCATATCCTCTAACCTCTCATTCGAAATCTCAGTGCGTTTATCCTAGCCTACACATACACCTGGTGAATGTTAATGTTTCGCCTTTCACACGTTTTGAGGTTGCACAAACCTGTCACGACATATGAAACCCGCCGCTATCATTCCAAGCATGACACCCACCCCTTGCCCTAAATGACATTGGAGCTGCCCTCCACACCCTGTACGCACTCTGCTCGATGCGCCACTCCAGGCGAGGGCGAAACTCTTCGTGAAGCAGAGGATAGTGTCGATCGAAGAGGAACGACGGTGGTGAGTTGGACACGAAAAAAGTGTGCTCCCTATCCCTGCAAGGATACTGTAGGTTGTTGATTTGTCAGACATTTGGCAATATGCCCTGAGCATGACCAACCACCCACGCGGAAGATCGTGTTGTCTTGGTCGTCGATTTTGCGTTCTACTTCTACCAGGAATGTGATACATTGTTTACAGCAGCTCTACCGAAGTGGTACAACTACTGGTTGGTCGTATCACCACCTGTGCGTGGCCTTCGTTTAGCTTGCGTGCGCCCACGTACCCGCTTGACTCACGTACTGTACACAGCATGGCTCAAGAGGAAGAGCGCCGGCATGAGCGCCAAGCCTTGTATGGGTACTTGGGCCAAGCGAGTGCTGGTATCGAGCACGGTCATAAGCGAGGAGGAGGGGCGAGCGCCTCCAATGCCGAAAACAGACGACAAAGGATCATGGGGCACGAGGAGGCAGAGGCGCAAGCAGAACGGGAGCTGAGCAACCGCCCGTGGGCGAAAGAAGACCTGGCACAGCTCCAGAGGGCGGTGGACGAGTACGTGCTGATGCACGATCTGGGTGTTCTGTCGTTGTGATGGAAATGTTGATGCGTTCCTCTTCTTTACCCCAACAATCAAAGTTGACCCTGTTTCCAGCCCTCGACAACGTTGCCTCTTCGCTCGTTCTAGCTGGTCAAGACTAATAATGTGGGTGCTCTTGTGGTTTACGCTGGACTGACGTGTCCCCGCGGCAGATTCGGCGAACGCGGCTGGCGCGCGATGATGGCTAATGAAAAGCACAAGAGTCTCTTCCATATGAGAAGTCCGTTTATCGTCAAAAGCATGCATCGCATGCTCAAGGACAACGAGCTCAAACGAGCGAAGGCCAGGGCTAGAATGGCAGCAAGGGCCGACACCAAGGCTAAGGCTCGAGTGAGTAACTGGCGCCGTGAGAAGTCAGATGTGCCCACGTCCTGTAAGTGGGTTGTTTGTTCGTCTTGCGGAGCCTGGCAGTCTTCTGGTTGGCTGACGGTTGGGGTGCATCTGTTACGGTCCTCAAATTACCCACTGGTAACAGCGAGGAGTTGCAATGTTTTGAGAACTGGGCTGACATAGAACTTGGTGTGCCGGTGGTATGCATCTTGCCGCTTGTAGGGAGACGCCATAGCTGGTGCCGATGGCGATCCGGCCAAGGATTTCTGCAGGGAAGCTGTGTCGTTCGCCGAAGCTGATGCGGCAGCAGCAGCGGTGGCGATGGCGCGTACTGAAGCGCACGAAAGCGTAGACAACCCGGGAGAGGAAGCGGGAGGTGCAGGAACGTTCGACGACAAGAGCCGGGCGAGAGAGAGGAGAGCCTTGCTCCAGAAACTGATCATGGAACATGGTGTAGGAGGGGTGAAGACGAAGGTGAGGCATGAGTTCATCCTGCTGCGAGCGTGAGCTTAATCGTTGACATTTGCTGTGACCGAGCGATACGGAGGCTGCTGTGTTTGTTTTGTGTCGCAGCTCGAACGCTACGGGAAGTGCTTTATGCCGCAGATGCTTCTTTGAGGGGGGGAGCTTGGAGGAGTTTCCGGTTTCCGGTTGCCGTCTCATGAAAAACATCGCGTTCGTGAGGCCACGTGTTACCGGAGTGTTTCGTAACATATACCGTGCTTCCAACGTGCATCGTTTTCTTTTGTCTCCCATCAGCTGGATATGCCTGTGTACAGTGCTCTGAAGGAAGAGGGAAGCCAGAGCGTTCTCATCAACCATTGGCGGTCGATGCAACACCGACTGCGGCGAAGGTTAGAGCGCCTCGGCATGGTCCCGAAAAGGAAGCCAGGTAGACCCCCGAAAAATCCCCCGACGAAACAATATCCAGGTTTTGAGGCGGCTTACCCGGGAAGCACCAATGTTGGAGCGCCTACGACACAGGCCACAGGGAACAACGAACGCGGAGACCTGCCAAGGGAAGAGGACCACGGTGGCGAACGCAGCCGAAAGAGGGCTCGCACGGAGGAAAAAGCGGAAAACGAACAATTGCCGGCAGCGAGCATGCGTATGCAGCTGTAGACTGACTGACGCGCAGGGTGGCCACCCCGATCTGTGTTGGTGGATTCGTGGCCTACTGTAGGAGGTTTGCTAAATTTTAACCATTGTGCATATGCGTATGTGCGTTGTATTGTGCTGTTTGTGTATCGCTGGCGTGTTTTTTACTTAACGTCGGAATGAGAACACGTACGATCTGACGTCTGGGGAGATGGTTAGAATGAGTAAGACGATAATGGTCGTGGTGCTACTTGTGCCCAAGGCCCACGCCCGTGATTTCTTCTTATATCCAATAGAGTGTTATGTTGAACGTGGAGGGTACATGTATTCGAATTCCGGCGTGAGCTTTTTATTGCAAAACGAGTTGATTCTCTCGCTTCCGTGTTTGGTAATGGAAAGCGATACATGCAAGTTCGTGTACACACTTTGAGGGAAGAGAGTGTTGTTCTCGCGTTAAGAATCGAACGCAAGCACCGCCGGAGGGGTGGTAGAGGCCCGCAGGTTAACCCTTGTGCATGACCACGGATTGGAGCTGCTCCTAACCGGCAGAAATGCTGTGAGCGCCGATTTAATGTGACGAAGAAAAAAGTATACTCCCGAATATACAATCGTAAGAACACGGTGGCCCGACGATTCAGTTAGAACCTCGCCGCCTTGTAAACGTTACAATAGAACGCCAGTGAGTTTGAATCTCGGTGCAGTCACACGAACTGTGGGATTTGTCACATCATTATGTCGAAACACGTGTGTTCTTTTCTTGTTTGCATCGACCGCACTAACCGGCTGACCAATGAAGCGGCTAAAGGCCACGATGATCTAGGACCGACCCTGTGAGGGAGCGTCACATGGGGGGGGGTCGCTACTCTCGGGATTTTGAGACAGATATTACGTACGTAGCAAAAACAGAAGAAACTGCACGTGTTTACCGTGGCTGCTACTGCTTTGGACGCACGCTCGTTATGGATTGCTTTCGCCGTCTTCCCTGCATTCACTACTGCCGCCCATATTCCCCCAATATTTTGGCGGGCCCTCTGTAGTTCTTCGGTGCTTGTTGTGAGGATAACCTCCCTGGCTCAAAAACGTTTTTTTTTCTCTCTTCCACGTTTATAGTCAATGTTTTCCTCCTCCATCGTCGCCTTCATCCTCCTTTCTCCCTTTTCATTTTCCTTCATCTCCGTCACTCCTAACCAATTACCGTCAATATCATCGCCATCCCTTTCACCTGAGAACTACATAAACATGATGTTCTACTGAAATCCCAACTTCTGTGTGCTGTGTGTAGTGTGTGAAACCCAAACAAAGTAGACTTCACGGTCGACGGGGTGTGTGTGTGTCTGAAGCCTTCTCGCCTTACAAACAACGACAAAGAGGTGAGTGAAGAACAAACAAGAAGCTCGTATCCGTGTGTGATGTATGATGATCCTGAAGTGTACATTAAACGTCCAGAACCAATAATAGACTCAATCCTCGTCCTTGCCAACAACAGCATACAGCAAGCAGCAGAACCGATGACACCGCAGCAAGTTAATTTTCACGACACAACTTTTTTTTCTTTTTCCGTTCATTTATTTTCGTACGCTGTGCCATAACCAACCACGGCCGTGCTGCACGCGCCCTTGGCCATACCGAATGGCCGTATTGTCAACAGCGCGATCTGAGTTTGGTGTGAGCTCTTGCACACACAGCGGGAGAGTCAACTTGGCTGTTGGGTGAGAGCAGCAAGAGTCGAGCAAGAGCAAGGCAAGAGTTTGCAAAAGTTGCAAAAGTTGCAAAAGTCCTGAAACACGTAAATGGTGACCCCCTCCCCCCCCCCCCCCCGGAGGCGACGGGAGTTCCTGTTTCCGCCCCACACAACGGTAGTCCCAGAGTCCCAGTCCCTCTCACAGGTCAGTTGAGAACAGCACCCACAACAAGCACCAACGAGAGCGAGAGCTTTAATTCTGGCAAACAACATGCCGCGGGTGTTGACGCGCTTCATCGAGGAACCACAAGTGAGTCGAGCTGGCTAGTTGTAACTCCGTTGCTGTGCATTGTATAGTGAACTTCCTAGTTGATGTTGGAAGGCGTACACCAGTATGCACCACCGAGTACGTTGTGTGGTATGAATATGCAAGGTGGCTGAGAGTGATGAGAGTATCCTCCAATTTTGAACCAAAATCGACTGGTAGCGTTTGGATAGCTCGGGGGTTCAGGGTTAATAATGTTGATAGCTCATGAACATTTGTATACGGTGTAAACAAATACTAACGATGCCGTGTGTATGCTACATAGACTACATCTGCAAGCTTGCAAGTATTTTAATAGCTTGATGACGGGTTTCGCGCGGTTGTCGTGTGTTCCCTGCTGACACTGGACGTCGTATGCATGCTACCGGCCTACTACACACATGACACATGGAGAAACACCCCCGTTCCCTGGTTGTAGAAACTACACTTGTTAAAGAATATGAAACACCTTCCAGCAACGAGCGTTGATGCGGCGGAATTCCTTGTTGCTCTTGCGTGAAAAAAAGGGAAAACGACACAACAGGGTATACCATGGTCGAAAAGCGACACACCTGGGTACACAGTTATTAACAGCAGCAAATGCACTCATATCATTGGTCAGCGCCCAATTTCACCCCGGTGCGTCCGGAAAGGCGCACGGTATACCCTGCCGTGACTACTTTTCTCAACAACTGTACCCTGTTTTCGGAAATGTACCCTGACCTGACGGGAAATGAGACCCTTTTATCAATCATTTCCCCCGCAGGAATCTTCCCAACTCCTTTTCCCCTCCAACCATTGGATACCAAACGGCGAATCTTCCCGCCCAACAACAACCATGGCAACGGGGGCAGGAATCAATTTCCGCCCCCGCGAAGCAACACCATCCATCAACTCTTCCGCTCTAAATCAACAACGGCCGGGCAATACCCCAGCACATTTGTTCCGGGAAACAAGACACACGCGTACAATACCCCGTGGACTACTGCTTGCTGCAGTCTATATGCGAGACGCACGGGTTACGCTATGAAAGTTAAACCGATCCAGCTGGTTGGCATGCATATGCATGTGTGCGTGCGTGTGTTGTCTGTTGTGTCTCAATTGCGATGTGTTCTTGCTTGAACTACTGCTGTAGCAGCAGCGGTCACGCTTACCAGCCAACCAGGCCGACCAATCAATCAAGGTAGTAAGAAGATGTCAGGCTTCAACGGATGAACCGATGAAATACAACCACGGATGGAATGCTTGGATAATGGTGTGGTGAGGACGCAGTACTGTACGTGCGAAAAAAGCAACGTTATTGACATTGCTCCCTGAAAATTTTCCAGACTTTCCCCCCACTCCTCAACATTTTCCGAGCTTCCATGTATTCTGATGGCTTCGAAACAGTATCTTGAAAGACGGCAGTAAGTTTAGTGCAAGCTTTAGTAAGCATGTAAAACTTCCCTGCACGTTGGGATACACGCAGATTTATCTCCCCGTGCACAAGTATCCAGGAATCGCCGCCCACTTCCCCAAGTGTGTTGTCCGGAAAAAGGTACCTATACAACAGTTTATAACGACATTACTACGTTAACGTCTGCTTCTGTAGGAGACACTCTCATGCCTCTACACGCTTTTGGAATTCCGTGATCACGATTTTCAGCCAAATATTGTAAGAGTTTTTGGAAATAACGCTACGGTATCCCAAGGCGTGGCAGGCAACTGCCCAAAAAACAATTTCAGTCGGCACTGCTTGACTGGAGTACGTGAGGCATGGTACACGATAAGCCAGTGGGCCAGTTACCAGGATCCGACTGACCTTGGTGGCTTATCCCTCCTAGTACCCAGTCCCTCCGCAAAACAAAATGTCGCAAAATTTTTGTTGAGGGGCTACATTCCATCCAAAGAATCTGAGCCCCTTGCCAGACAAAGGGTGACTTGGCTTCAGTATGAAAAGTGTCCCCAAACCACCTGGGGACGGATTTGATACTCAAGCCAAGTCAGCAATTTTTTCCTGTACCAGGCGATTTACAGTTTTACTACCCATAGGGGACAAGAGGCTTGGGCGATGGTGTCCAGCAAGTCAGAGGCCGGGGAGAGGCATCACACAGCATGTTACACTGCGTACCACCTCAGCCAAGCAGATAGACCAAGGATTCTCACGTGCGTTTCACACAGTGGAGCCTAGGGTGACTACGGTGCGGTAAATACTCATTTGAGTGCTGTGTCGCCAAATTGACCCATTTGGGCTTCCAGTACTAGAAGGGTTGAAGGGTGTGAAAGTCCTCCCCCCCCCCCCCCGTCTCTCTTCTTCGACCTCAGTCTCAAGTCACTTTGTAACGCTCAACTCTTACTTGACGTACTCGCTTCTCACCCGACTTCTGGATACTACAAGACATACGCATACATGAGAGTTGTTGATCCCATCACATGTTGCGCCTGCAGTTGTCGCATTCACAGGTTGATCCACATGAAACATGAAACACAGAATGCACCTGCTTCCATATATCATGTTGGGGTACTGTACAGGTATTTCGTACTCTGGCGGTACAGCAGTACAGCTTCAACAATGAGTGGTATGCATACCATACAACCAAAGTGCAGGCGGGTGGCAGGGCGTTGTTTGACGTTTGAATGCTCGATAGACGCCCTGCTAGTACGATGTATCTACTGCTCCAATTTGTAATTTTGTCATCGCAGCTGTTAACGCAGACAAGGCAACTAGATCCATTGCCCTCCTGATTATTGAGTCCACGGGAAAGCTACATTCACAAATCTGATCACGCATGTACATACGTTCTGTTAAACTGCAAGGTGTTCGCCTGCGCGAATTGCAAGACGCACCTGTCTACCGAGGGGAACATTGAGTCGAAGGACTTCACTACACAAAACGGGAGGTGCGTTCATGGGTGTGCCAGCGTTGTGGGTGTTCATACATTCGCTCGGGGACGCAGTTGCTGGGGTTACCGCATTGCTTCCCTGCAAGCGTGGTGGTGGAAGTATCATGCCAGTGACGTGATATGTACGAGGTGTCAACCGCGACTGGTATGTACTATATATCGTCTGAGTCATGGATGTTTTGTGTGCATATGGAAATGATATCCACCAAAACATCACTTTTCGAGAGAGCTATGGTCTCATCACTCAACAGATTCAATAGGGCATGTTCGGTACGGTATGATAGAAACGGCGAGCGGCGACACATCCGTGTTGAGGTTTCCAAGAGGCCGTGTTCGTTGTATTCCGTTCCGTCGGTTCCGGCTATGTGATGTAGAGGTCCCTGCAGATTGTCCATGGACACCTCGGCTTCTAGAGCTTCATGGAGGGTACAAGGTAGACTGTATTGCAGTCCACGTCGGGCTGGTGTTGGTAATTGTAACGGGTGCCGTCGAGGTTGCGTACACCAATCCCGTCTTGAATGTTCTCAATGAATCACACCCATTTCGATTGGGGAAGCACTGGTTCGTACACTTTTATTATGATTCGCTCCAAGTTCTTGACTCATTGATTGGCAACCAACACCCACCGTTGGTTTTGGGAATGATACATATCGGTTGACTGTTGCTTTTCGCGGCAGACAAGCCAGTGTGAGTGCATACAGTACGTTGCCCTCCAGATATCTAAATGTGAGACGCATGAGATACAACAAACCGACCAGAGCCGGTGGGTTCATGTATGAAAGGTATTGAAACTTTGATCGACCGCTCCGTGGGTACAGCAGGGTATTTGACCTCGGTAGTCTGGCTCCTGTCCTGCCCTGTCCTGTCCTGTCCTGTCCTGCTCGTTCGTCTCTCCGAGCAGGGGTTTTCTGATCAACAAGTTGATCAACGTCACCAACGGTCCTTCGGCTGATAGAAGCTTGAGAACAGGTACACATAGTGTGGCCCCCAACGAGCCTTTGTACATATATCTGCCCTTTCTATGTTGTGGCGTTTTACTCTCTTTGTCTCAGACCCGACGGATTCCGTTTCCACCAAGCAAAGGCTTGACCAACTTTTTGCTGCTGGCTCGTGATTGTGTTTTTTTAGAGTAGGGACGAGTGAATTTCCCCCAGTCAAACAGAACACGCATGAATGATGCCAACGTTCTCTACCGTATGGTGGATCTTTATATTTTGGTTTTGATATTCCTGCATATCCTGGTTTGTGGTTGACTCTACTCGGAGGCATGCCTGCTGTGTCAGTTCGTTCTCACTATTATATGTCTGCTACGGTTAACCGCAAGTATCAAGTATTTAACAGAACTGGGAGGGTTTTGGTGGGGAGGGGGAGAGGGATCCTTCTGGTGCACTCTGATAGGCTGGTCGGAGTATTGTTCTGTCGAGAAAGAGGGACAGACCCCGCGGAAGGTTTGGGCTGAGAGGGACGAATAGACGGGATATTCGAAATGTTTTAGCTTGATCTTGAACCCCTTTGATCATGCTGCTTGTGTGCGGGTGTTTCTGGGCGTCAGGCATGCATGTCTGCCAGGATGTCTACTGTGTGACCTGCGACACCAACGTGGGATGGAAATATGTGAGGGCAAAATGCAGAAATAAGCGATCACATAGAGTGATCTTAGATGCTTCACGACTGCGTTTCCAGCTGAACAGCCCCCGAAATCCGGGGCGTGAAGCATGGTTCTCGTTACTTGATCAACGGTTCAAGAGGGAAGACGGAGCGCGCATGACTCGCGCCGCTGCGAAGCTGGTCTGGTCTGATCTCTTGTTATGTAGCGCGGAACTGTAATTCATGCCAGTCCGTTCGCCTAAGAACTCGTTCATTCGAACTCGGTTCCAGGACCTGGGCACCGACAAGTTTTTCTTTAACGTGAACGTATTCACACGAATTCACACGAATACAAACAAAATTGTCCCTCGAAGAATGCCATGCTACCCCGAGTCCCGTTGAAATACCTCGTGCGTTTGTCCGTGATTTCGTGTGTAACAAGCCACCATGGTCGGCTCACCCCGGATGCTATTGTCCTACCTAAGCTTATTGCACCAACCAATCCTCTTCGTTTCCCTTTCCCTTCAATCAAAAGATCAAGGCCTTCAACCAGACCGAGAGGTATAAGGTAAGACGCTTGATGGCAATGCGTCCCGAAACAACACGGGTGCTTGGGGTCTTGTGACCGATTTTCGTTGAATTTGCGTGCTTGGTATTTAGTTGTCATCGAAACTTGTTTACTCATAACAACGGTTACAGGTTTGGCCGCCGGCAGACACCATGATGGGGACAATGCCAAATGGATGCTCAGGACCCGCACGAAACAAACAGCAACCAGCACTCACTCGTGTCTTCGCTTGGGCATTTGACCGTCACTTTTAACCGTTTCCCCTGGTGCCCCTTGTGTGTGTATTTCTTCCCTTGTGAAGGTTGGGAACTTTGTGCTGGACGCTGTGAAGGTTATAAACTACCATTGGGAATCCGTCGACTAAGGCGGCATACCTCTCCGTATTGTCGATAACTCGAGGGGCGGAAGCGACCGTATCCGATGGGAAAATGTGTTGGTGCTGCTGTAGCTGCGCAGGAGCGCTTTGGTTCTTGAAGTGTAGCCCATGGGTATTTGTTGGCCGATCCACGCGGAAACGGCACATGTGCATAATGTGAACAAGGTTCGACAGCTGAGTAAATAAAAGGTGAATTTGGGGGAGGTTTAGTTATGAATTATGAACGATGTGAGCGTCAAGCGCGTGCCGTTTGTTCAAATTGGTGCGTTGTTTATGGATCTTTCTTGACACCCACCTAGAGACGAGATCTACCTTCCTTCGTTTGGCCATGGAGGCCCAAACATGCTGCTTAGAGTGGACATCTCTTGGCTTCCCTTGTATATGCGAGTGTTTGCCGAACGTGCCGAAAGTCTGGTTGACGCAATAGGTGCGTTCTTCGTATGCATACTTCCAAACAGATAAGAATTTCAATGCTGTAATCCGTCCTTGTAGCAGCTTGTTGAAATCGAAAAATTGTGTTGCCACGTGATCGGTTGCTCCATTGGATTTGAAGCCATCTGCCCTCGTAGGGGTCATCATATGTTCGCACCGCGCTGACCAGGCGATGTCGGGTTTGCGTTCAGATACATAGGAGAGGGGCAGGGTGCAACGACGAAACACAATGCTACCTTCAGCTGTTAAGAAAGTGCAGCGGTCCTGCGAAATGTGCGATGTCATGTTTCGCAACATCAGTGACCACCGTAGGTTGCTGCATGGTGCCGATTCAAGACGAAGGGCAACGCAGATGTGTTAGCTCGTTGTTAACAGCCGTTGCAGGTCTCGGTTGCATGACATCGACAGCAACGAGAGGAAGAAACACTTCATTACTGGTTGTTCACATGAGCCGTGTAAACCGACTCGCATACCGCACCAGCGACTACTCCAAAGTCCACGGCGAGCGCAGGTGATTGCCCCCGTGTTCATCTTGTAACGAAGATATACCAGAAACACACAAACAATCAACGACACGAAACGTAGGTCGAGCCCCACAACAGAGGAAAAGTCTCCCAAACCACACCAACCGCTCATTTCCTACCCTGTTTCCTATTCTTCGGAATCTACTACAACGTCCAGCACGCTTCAAACGACACATCACTCTAACCCCATGGGGTAGGACACCCCGCACACGCAAGAGACCGAGGAGTCGATTTCGGGGGGGTTTACCCCTGCTCTGGTTGTATGTTAACTAACCCGAAACGCAGCTGTTCTGACTTTGCATGTGACTGCTCATCACAAAACGTTCTGTATACAATAAACAACATACAACAAGGGGCACACCGTCCCGCCCTCTTGCGTCTCAGCAAGATGCTGGGCAAGTTTAAGTCTGGAGGGTGATTTCTCTGCAGCAATTTACTTTTTGCAACGAGCGTGTCGCTGTCTGCACATTTTTTGCCCGCTGAAAAACTGTAACTCTTTTGAGACAGGCAGACGTCGACGACGCTCAATGCTTTCACAACAAGCAACACACAAGGGGATACACAACGTGTCCCGACCTACGCATGCTCAAGACGATGCAGGAGTGCTGCAGCAAACCTCTTCCGTTGAATGAAGTGAACGAGACATCCAACACATGAGGGGTGTACATGCTGTCCCGCCCTGTGCGTGGCATCAAGACGGTTGATTTGCGGTCCATCATGGTATACCTTGGGCAGGGTTTGCATCCACGAGGCACATACCACCAATCAGTTCAGCCAATTTCCGCGCCTCGTCACTGGTCTACCCCTCCCATCCCTTCTTCCGGCTTGGGACGGCAAATGCCGCATCCCAGCACATACTCGTGTTCTCCGTTCTTGGCCTTGTCAGGGTGTTGACCACCGAACAGGCAGTGGGCACCACCAAGGCAGGGCTTCGGCTTGGCGGCGAAACCGTGCAAATGACAGGCGTCGCAGAAGTGCATTACTCCGCCACAAAAGTAGGAAGCAACTTTTCGGCAGCACCAGTAGCACTTGTGCTCCATGAACTCCTGCGACAGCCAGCACGCGAGGATGTGTACGGGTTAACTTACGAGTGTTTTTTTCGGGAGAGTTGCGGGTGTCTGCGTGCAAGAAAATCGGCTTGCTTTGAGTAGCTGGGCCTGTCTCCCAGCAATCTTCAAGAGGGGAGGATACGCGACACCGCCAGTGTTCCAATTGTGCAGGCCATTGCCGTCTTGGTGGGGGGTTACTCCAGGGAGACAAACATTGGTCCAGAGCAAGGCGAGACGAGCTAGGGTTGACTACAGCCAGCCGTTCATCGGCAAAGGACCAAATGCTACAATCACAGTAGAGAACGATGGGAGAAGAAAGCGCTTATTAGTGTCTCTGATCTCGCTTTTTCCAGCCAATTTTTTTCCATGTAGCAGCGTAGAAAAGCCACCCATCTATCTCAAAAACATGGGCGGGGCGCTCTAATCTGACAAGTAGAGCTATGTGGAATCAAACAAACAAGAACTAGTGGGACTTCTCTATAAAAAAAGTGCCCCATGCATACTTCTTCGATTCTATCCGACAATCCTCTGCCGAGAGTGAAGATATAGAACACCAGACAAGTACCTGCCCGTGTTCGGAGCAGCTCGCACCGCCACTGCCCGCCGAGCACTTCCCACAGAGAAGTTCGGAAGGCTTGATGTCAGCGAGCGCCCGCTCCGCCGCCTGCGCGTCCGCGGCAGCCCCGACCCCGGGCCCGACCGAAGCCTCTCCTCCCCCACCACCCGCCGGAGGGGGAGCAGGCTCGCAACTGACAAGCCCACCAAAGTACGGCTTGCGGCAGGAGTGGCACTGACAATGGATGCGCGTGCGCAAGAACGGGATCGCATGGAATGCGGGAGAAGGGCAAACATAAACAGGGATGGCACATGCATCGACGTATAGTCCTAGAGACCAACATGGACACACACAACAGTCAGAGGTACTTCGGTGCGGAGTCTACTATAAGGGGCACATCTGGGAAACGTGCCTTGCCGTGTGACAACGGGTACAGTATATGGTTAAAAGTTAATCACATCCTAGAGAGGAACGACTCTACACAGAGCGATTGTTCAAAAAGCAGAGCACCGCACTCGTGCTTCACCTGGTAGTAGGAGTATTTCTTGAGGGCCCTCTTCACCAACTTCGCCCGCTCTTCCTTCGTTAGCTCGGCGGGCTTCACAGCATCATCGTCACCAGCGGCACTTGCTCCCGAGCCTTTACCTTCCTTGGCGCTATCAGCCTTGGGTGCAGCAGCAGCAGCAGTAGCAGCAGGTGCGTTTGAGGACTGCACTGACGCCCCATCACCCGCCATCCTTCTCATCGCTGCCGTCGCCGCCGCGGCTACTCTGGCATTTCTGTCCCGTGCTATGGGGGCGGGAGACACGTGAAGCCTCAGCATCCCGGCGGCCGCAAGGTCAACCCTCTCCCCCGCGCGCTGGTCGTCTTTGTTTTCTGCCAAGCGGTCAACCCCACCTCCACCGACTGCGCCTGCGGCCATCACAGCATCCGCGACGGCGCCCGCCGCTTCTTTCTCCTCTTGCTCCTTCCTGGAGAAGCCAGCTCCACGTTCCAGCGCACCCCACTCGCCTCCAATGGACTCGGGGCGGTAACCCACCCGCCTCGCCAACCCCAAGCCGACAGAGAAATCGCCGGCGCCGAAGTGCACCCTTCTGGGGGATGCTTCTCGGATGCCTCCACGGTCGGCGACAAAGTCAGCAACACTTCGCTTCTTCCCGCGGTTCACTTTCGTTCGTGCTTTGTCGCCAAGGTCGACAGCTGCGATGTTGGGGGCAATACCGTCCTTTCGCTTTGGCTTTTCCTCAACCTTAACCACCTCTTCGAGAGAAGAACCAGCACCGGCACCAGCACCCGGCCGCCGCTTGGAGCTTGATTCGAGTTCGACGCCCGCACCTTTCCCTCCCGCCCCTTCTCTCTTCCTCTTGGCGAGTGGCGAGGGAACGACGAAAACCCCCTCTTCCTCTTCCATATCGAGGGCTTCATCGTCGCCATCATCGCCCTCATCAAGCCAAGTGGGCTTGTGGCGAGGTCTGGGGCTGCGTGCGCGTTCAGGCCACGGCAATATGCCGACCACATCAAGCGCCAAGCCCTCGTCATCGTCCACTTTGTCGTTATCGGCACCGGCCCCACCGCCTTTGGATTCGAGTTTTCTGGGCTCATCAGAATCGCTTTCGGCCACGTCTTTGATTTTTCCGTGGCGGCTCGTCGCTAGCTTCAAGACCTTGGGATCCCCATCGCGGCCAGGAGCTCCCTTTCGAGCGCAGTTATCCGCACCCATCTCAGAGCCCTCAGAAGATTGCCCAGCTGCTGGTGCTAGTGCTGCTTCACTGCCCTCCAAGCGGCCCACCATGCCACCCCTCGCCGAGGCATCCATGACATTGTCACCTCCGGCACTGACACCAACGCCCCCCCCTTTTCCCTCTCGGTCACCCTGCGCCAGCTCTTCTTGGCCGACATCCAGGCTCTCCGGGGGAGTCGACGAAGCCACGGCGCGGCACACGCGGGGAGGGGGAGGCAGTACAGCACCAGCTGCGTGTGCGGCTGGTTTTCCTGTAGCCTCGCCCGCATCACGTTTACGGAATGGAGCATCATCACCACGTCCCTGAACAGAGTCTCCCTGCTGCTGTTGGTTTGCCGCAACTTGGACGTTCTCTACTACGCTCGCATCTACCGCCATCGCACCGGCAGCAGCAGAAGCACCAGCAGCAGCACCAGCAGCAGCAGCACCACCACCACCACCACCGGCAGAAGCACCAGCAGCACCAGCAGAAGCACCAGCACCAGCACCAGCACCAGCAGAAGCACCACCAGCGTCGCCGGCAGCTACCTTCCACTGCTTGGATCCGAACGGAACGCCACCAGGCAGCGGCCACTCGTTTAAACCCTTCCTAGATTTTCGCCGCACACGCCGCCTTTCCTCGAGCACGGCCTTCCCCTTCTCGAGTTGTTGTTCTAGGCGCTCGCGAACGAGAGGGGAACGTGGGTGAGCTGCCGGGGGGTCGGCTGGTAGACCACCCCTCGCACCCCTCGCTGCCCCAGGGACCTTGACACCACCGGCCACCGCTCTCTTCATCGCCACGTCTGCTCGCGCGATGAGCATCTGTCTCCTTTTGTTGAGATACTCTTCTTGGGAAACAGGTTGCTGCTGCTGCTGCTCTTGCTGTTGTTGATGCGCACCTCCTGCATGACCAGATCCTCTCGCTGCTGCTCCCACTCCTGCTGCGCTCGCCCCTGCGCCTACCCCCAGCCCTGGCCTAGCCGCCCCAGCTACGCTGTTATGCGCGTATGGTGGAGGCATCATAGGAGCAAATGGGGGAATCCTCCAATCCATCCCCATCCCCAGTTGCCAGTCGCCTCGGGGCGCTGCCCCCTGCATCAGCTGCAAAGGGGACATCGGGTGTGCCTGAGCCCCCGCCGCCGCCCCCGCCGCCCCCGCCGCCCCCGCTGCCCCCGCTGCCCCCGCTGCCCCCGCTGCCCCCGCCGCCCCCAACCCCCCTGGTGCTGCCCCTGCTGCCGCTGCTGCCGCTGCTGCCGCTGCCGCAGCTCCTCGTGCTCTGCGTGGCGGGTGAAATCCCGCCGCCTGGATGGGGGGGTACGGGATTTGAAGCGGAAAAGGTCCCCCACGCCCCCTCGCCCTCCAGTTTGCGGGGTGTCTATCTTTTTGTCGATGGCGTACTAAACCCGCCATCCGCCACCGCATCCCCGCGTGGAGACTATCCAGGGAAGGTTTCTGCGCGAAACACAAGCAAAGGGGGGGGTGCACGTGGTGGTGGTCGTCGTGGTACTTAGCTTGGACCTGTGTGTAACTCACGAAAACAACTCCCTGGTGGTGGTGGTAGTGGTGGTGGTAGTGTCGCACGTCAAGATTTTCAACGTACACCCTGACAACAAGTTCGTACGAGAGAAAAATATGATGTTTCTTCTGGTGCGTTGCCCTAGGCTCCAGATCTACAGTAGTCTCTGGCTTGCAACCACTTCGTCTTTGCTGAGCAATGACAATGAGCATCACCATCATACATGAAACAGTGCCCAAATCTAGCACGTCGGGTACTTTTGATGTGCACTCAAAAATAATCCAAGTTGCTGCCTGACATGACAGACCGGCTGTGGTGTCGACATGACAAGACATGACAAGACAGGACTGAACGTGTCCATTAGTTATGTCAAAGGCTCAGATTGGGTCGAATTGTTCTATTCAGCCTCTCGCCTTTTTGCAACCAAAAAAACGATTTTCTCAGCATCTTGGGCCCGCTGCACGTCATTTCAATGTATCAATCCAAAAGCACAACACAGACACTGTCTGCCGGAGCTTGGAGTGTGTCATCTCACTCCATACGAATGAGCAAACTTCCATCGTCCTATACAGTTTACCAAACACAATATGGTACGTCGTAGTCCGCTGTAAACGGAGCACGATGGAAGCACATTGCCATACACAATACGCTAGGATGTTGTGCCTAACATTCTCGGGCTAGATAACCACGATCGATAAACGACGGGGGTCATACGAAAAGAACAAATAACGGCTACGCTTCCGTACCTTGAGGGGAGGTAGCTCGTCTGCGCGGAGACGTTGGATGGCCAGCTCCTAACAAGCGAAACGACAAACCGAGGCGACACAACACAGCCAGTCATGGCATTGGCGTTACGCGACATCAGTTAATGGCGCAAGGGTGGGGGTTGCGAAACACCGTGCGTATCCCAGGGAGAGCAACACTAGACAATATGGCCAACTCACGGCGGTGACATACGAAGCGACAGGAACAAAATGAGGGGCGGCAGCGGCACGCTGATATGTTGGTGTACACCAACCGCAAAGCAGACGTGGTGCAATCAAGCAACAACACGTGATGGGAGTACACAGAGAAGAGTGCCTCACATCATGAAAAACTCACTCACGTTCACGTTGATGACAACATGAACACAGTCCCATCGGGGTATGTTCGAGCTGTAGTGTTTGCCGACAACATTGCAATGCTAACACCAAACAGGATGAAGACACCCGCGTTTAGTAGAAACATCAAAAAATATCCAACGGTATCGAGTTTTTGTAGAGTTTCCTTTCTCCGCCTATTCCATGATACTTCTTGCTGTTTCTCCCCAAAAAGACTTCGACAATTTCAAGGGCAAAAACTAAAAACAGAATTAGGACAGTATCGGGAAGAGGTGGCCCATGTCAATTTGACCGACACAATGGGTTTGATGGCACAAAGCAAGAGGTACACGCATCATGTAGTCAGTGCTTCGCTGAGTGTAAACAACAGTCGCCACCCCAGCAATACCCATATTTAGGATGGTGGAATCTTTTGTCTGAGGCACCTACTGATGGACCTTGGGCTACTGACGCGATTGGCCTTCACAATCAGACGAAAAACAAGACGAATCCCCCCCTACAAGGCTCATGTCCATCCAGAATCTACCACAAAATTTTCCATTCAGACATTAACGAGACCAAGGTCTAAACCGCCGGCATGTGGTCACCGCAGGAGGCCCTCGCGCATTTGTACTTGTTTTCCGTGGTGCTTACTCGAAAGAGTCTGTCTGGGGTGCCCATCAAAGCCAGCCAACGGCATCAACTCCGGCCGAATAAAAAGAGGAAAGAGAGGACCTTAAAATCGACTCGGCAGGGGCGAAAAAGACGAATCAGTAGTACTCCGGGTGGGCGTCAAACAAGCAGCCAACGAGTCTCTCATGCAAGACAGGCGCTGCGTACGATAAACCCTACCTCGACTTGATGGGCTAGTTCGAGCTGCTCCGGGATGCCATCACACTTGCCGAGATGGGGGTGCAGAGCCAACACCTGCAGCGAGCCAACAACAATGGTAATGTTGTGGGCATGTACATACAATGAAAACGTCAGCTTCGTCATTGGTTTTGTATCGGTCACTGAGAACTACCTGTCCCCGCGCTCAGGTTACGTGTTGTTACAGGTCTTGATTCGACGTGCGATCAATTCAGTACCAAGCACACCGCTTACAGCAGTGAAGCATCACGACTACCACTCTCAAGTATCTGGAACTATTGAGTACTTTTACAAGACTGAGAGCTCACACCTTGTCCGCACGGCAGACCGGGCAACTCATGAAGCCAAACGTTAGACGCGCGGTCGGCCGTCCTCGCATCAGCTGCTCGCGGCCGCACGAGACGTGCACGAAGTGGCCGCACTCCAGCTTCACGACAGTACAAGAACAGTTGGATAGACGTAGGGCAGTGTCGGACGCGGGTGGAGGCGAATGGGCCAGGGCCGAGTACGACATGTTCTTCAACGACGCGAGGCTAGTACTGTACTCCTTCATCTTTAGGGGGGCAGTCGTGCCAACTTGTACTTGCAAGATGATGCTCAACCTAACTTGCGCAACTGAAAAGGGTTGGTGAACAGCAACACATCCCTACATTGCACTGCGTTGAGGCGAAATCATTTCCTCTTGGCCACAAGCGCTTGTCGCAACAACATGACGTATTGTGTGCGGCAACAGCCACAGCCACATCATTCATTCTTCAACGACGCTTGCGTTTTTCCCTTGGCTACTAAAAAAACGGAACATGACTTCATTCAAGCATAGACGAGCGAGCGGACAAAGCGCAATGGGCACGGCGTGTCCAAGAACGGTGTTATATAGTCTCAATACTCTACTTGCTATTTGCCCAAAAAACAGCCGACCAAACGAAACAACGGCGGTACATACGGCACGAGAAAGAGCTAGCCAAAAGTGTCACATAGACTGTACCTTGACGCAAGGAGCCGCAAGAAGTGATTCGGTCCAACACACGTTGCAAAAGTCGTTCCCATCCACCTCGGCAGAAGGACAGTCTGGTTCGATGCACGGGATACATTCCGCCGTACCTGAGCGCGCCCAAGATACCGAGGAGGTCGCTGATTTGATCGGTACAATGCTTGCCTTGCCCGATGAATGGCACGTAGCCTCACAGCAGTGGAGCCTTCACCACGCTAGACAGTCGTATCTACTCATGTCCAAACTGTCCAAACTCACCTGGGGCAACGAAAACCTTGAGCTTCATCACCCTCGCCTCATACACAATAATTAATACCCGCATTTTGGCACCCGCACGCATTGTACACACAGCGAATGCTAGTAAAACCGCACACTTTGCCAAGGCTGAAAATCCCTTTACTTCCTTCTCACCGGGTCCGCGACAAGGGTGTCCGCACTCCAGTTTCTTTCGACACCCCTCGTTTGCGCGCTCACGACACTCCTCACGTCCACAGCAAGGAGGGGCTTGTAGGGCACCCTCTCTACCCTCTCCACCCTTGTTAGCCTCCTCGCCGTCGGCGGCAGCGGTTTTGTCGTTACCTCCACCGCATACAACTGTTGTGGGACAGAAACGGACGGGCCCGCGCGTGAGGAAAGCAGCAATACCATAGAACGAGCAGCGCTCCTGTAAGGAGTAGGTACAACACCTTCGGCTGCTACTGATACTACTGCGAACGAGGCCAAGGCATGTACACAAATCGTGAATAGTAAGTATGCTGTCACAACCAAAAGGAAATGCTGTAACAACCTGGTTCTTCCTCCGCAGCATCCCCACAGTATGTGCACTTGGGCTTCGCCTGGTGAGCCGCCCATCCTTCGCAATCGAACCCGATGTGGTAAGGCGTGGCTCTGCAGGCCCCGCAGAAACAGGTAGAGCATGACGGGCAGCGGAACCTGTGGCGCCCGTTGTGTCTGGAAAATAATACCAGTGCAACGAGGCAACGCCAGGGGCGAGGGTGCATGGAGCGTACCGTCATCGGCGGTACATACCGAGGTATGACAGGAGCCTCGCAGCGAATGCTGTACGCACTACCAAACCCCGTATTTCGAGTCATCTCCGACAGCAACGCATTCCTATCTCGTGACGATGTCATCTGCAAACATGCCTACTAAAGGACCAAACTCCCCGCCCAACACATGTGCCACACATGGCTCCGCGCCAACAGAATACTGGAACGTCTTCATTCGCACTTCGCCCTCTCCTTAGATCTCACTTTAGCCATGCCTCCACCCCAAAAAACAAACTGATCTCACCCAACGGGTCTGAACCTGAGCCTGAGTCTGTCTCACCTCATGGCCGATCTTCTCGACAAGTTTGCGCCCTTCGGCAGCTCCTTTGTCGCCACGTTGCCTCCGCCGCCGCGGGCAGCAGCTTCGTTTGGAACCAGTTCGTACACCTTGTGATAGCAAATATGGGAAGGCGTCACAGTGTCAAAAGCTGCTGTATGGGCCACTGGCTACGTACATGAAGTGTGGGTTAAGGTCAAAAGAGAGCGGATATGTTGCAACACTGCAATGACGCTCGGTTTCCAACGTCGGGATTAAACCTACACAAATCACACAAGGTGGCACGCGGATATGCTTCCGCTTCAGAATCCAATAGTCCAAAAATATCGGCATTCATTTTTTGGCCTGTCGGCAGGTACCGCCATAAAGCCTTGCCAGCACCTACGCTCGGTAGCGCTTCGCGAAACATACAAAAACAGCCAGCTTTCAACAGACACTAACCATCAACATTTAGCACGGCCTTTAACACTTAGTAGTGATGCTGCAGAATGAAAACCAAAAGCACTACGCATACACACCATCGGGCACCCAGGACATTGCACGAACCCCGGAGGCAGCGCTTCAATGAGGGACTCCACACTATCCGCCGCACGTTTCGGAGCACCGGGATTGCGACCCGATGCTGCTGACACGTCTGAAGCGGCTGCCGGATTGTTGGAGTCATCCCCCGCTGACCCATCTCGTACCAATATCTCACTTCCAGGAGCTCCAGCATCGTCCGATCCCGCAGCTTGTGCCGCCAGGTCTGACGGTGCCGATGCTACTATTGGTGATGTGCTTTCTGGTGTTCTGCCGTCTCCCGTTGCTCCGGCCGCCTGAGGTGTTTCCAAGGCGGCTGATGCCGAAGCACCGCCGGCTCCAGCTTTTTCGCTAGCGTTGCCCAATTCGCTAGCCACGGGTGCGTGCACCGCAGCCCAAGCCAGAGCCGCACTCCGTTCTTGCTTGCCTGATGCGTCGGGGTTGGCCGCTGCTTGTGCACCTGATGCTGCTGCTACTGCTACTGCTGCTGCTCCTGCTCCTGCTCCTGCTGACGCTGGCTGTTGCTCGCCGGGGGGCGCCTGCGCCGGGCTGCCATCACCGATCGGCACGCCGAGAACCGGCTCGCCGTCACCAGCCCCTCCGTGTGCTTCGCTGCTGCTGCTGCTGCTGCTGCTGCTGCTGCTGCTGTCCGAGGATCCGACGCCGTCGCTGTTACCGACAACAGCATTGCTGCTGCTGCTGCTGCTGCTGCTGCTGCTGCCAGAGGTACTGCCGTTGTTTCTGTTCTCGCCAGGTAAGCTGGCCGCGACTGGAGCAGCGCCCTCGCCGTCAAGCGCTCTCCCATTCAAAGCTTCAAGCGCCGTAGATGTACGCAAAAAAAAAGGTTGCGGTTTCAGATGGCTGAGCGCAGTCATACAACTGCAGTAGGAACAGCAGAGGCTAACCTGACACCAATACAAGATCGGTTCTCCTTGTTTCCTGGACAGTGTGATTCCCCAAACCAATGAGAGCTACATACCTGCCGTTTACATGGTTTACCGCACAGGCTCCATATTTCAACCGGAATAGCGGCCATATTGTAATAAATGCTTGTTTCAGTGGGGCGGACTATTAACCCAAGCTGAAACTCATCACCTGACTCAGCCAGTCGAGCAACGCACTTTTTTGCTTGTAGCCCTTGACAAAGTGGAACACTACATTTGATATATATATATATATATTTCCTAAAAAACTGTAACGTGTGCCTATCTCAAGTTAAAAGCTCAGCTACTTCTTCTCATGTACGAACACGTGTCCAACAGCAAGTTCAAGGAATGTGTCCCCTACACGGTACGCGAATCAATTTCTTCCACACGCTATGCATAGGGCCAATTTGTACCAATGCTGCATACCAGGTAAACCCGTGTACCTGGACCCGCTGCCGGAAAGGAAGAGTCCTCCTCGCCGCTATCGTTTCCCAGGTCGATAGCCTGTTGACACAATCAATCGCATATGTTGACCGCCGCGCGAGAACGAGCGACAAAAAGTTCAGCGAGCAAAGCAGGCAGACGGTCGCAAGATTCACATTCTGCGCCGTACTCGAACAAGTCAGGTACCTGATATTCATCTTCACGGAGAAGAGTGCCTGAATTCTTGCCCATGGTTGGCTTCAAGCGTAGCCTACGCAGCTTTCTATTGAGTATACATCTTGGATAAAGTGCCGAATCGATGAAATTTCGGGGGTTACTATTATCGGGGACAGGGGTATGTGGGGTACGGGTACGGTCTACCGAACCCCTGCCTGTCTATTTCATGGTAAAACCGTTAAAATTGAGTTCTTCGCGTAGGCAGCCCGCTTCAAGCGCCTGCTGGAATAAACAAAACAACACTAGCTGTGCGCCCCCCCCGTTTCCCAATACTTATAAGTTTTGCATCTTTCCGAGAGACAATATCTATTTCTCCGAAGTGTTCTGTTTCTTCTTACGTTGTGTAGCCGCCCCCGGGGCATTCACACGTTAAAAGTAACGCACCCATTCCCGCAATTGTTGTTGTTGTTCATGTGGTTGTTGTCGTCACCATTTTCTCGTTGATTCTTACTTCTGAAGTACAACCGTTCTATCCATATTCGAGGGCTACCTCCCCTGTACTCCGGCTGACAAACACACGAGTTGCGCTGTCTCAAGTGTGTTGGTGCCCAACGTCCAAGTGCTGTACGGTACCGCTGGACTCAGAAGGCGTCGCTCGCCATTTCAGTACGATATCCAGCAAAAACAGAACAAAACAAAACGAATGTGGTCGTTCACAACCAACACAGGCTTTCTTGTAAACTATGTTGAAGCCCGATAACGTGGGTTCCAGCGAGAGAGGCCAACGGCAAACGTTAGTTTGTTTGTGTGCGCGTGCGTCCGGGGAAGGCCCAACCACCGAAAAAGAGCCCGACATCCCCAGGTGGGCGTGTGTGTTGTAACTGGTCAAGTCCACCAGCCAAAATATATACTTCTTCAGTAAAAAGCTTGCAGCCAGTGCGACAACCTAGCCTCCGGTCTACAGCAGTGACCTAATACCTGCCGGTTGGGAAAGGTCGCTTAAGGGTTCTATCGATTGTATCAACCATTTTTAAGGCCGAGGCCGAAGCTCTTTCGCCCCGTGGTGGTCTTCTCTGTTCTGTCCTTCGGCCCCCTCTCCCTTTGAACTTGTCACAATGTTAACGCCCCCCGCGATGCTCTCAAAGGATTAGATATCGGTGGCAACTTGGTAGATATGAACTCGACGGTTCACGTATACCAATTACAACAAGGAATCCCTCCGGAGTGGGCTCATACAAGTAGCATAACCAGGGTGATGCAAGACAAAATAACAAGCAAATACAGCACGACCAGCCCACAGCTGGCTGCCGGGTCCCAATTGTGGCGTTTCCGAAGCTCAACTCACACGGTTGACGTGCTTGGACTAATATAGAAAGACGAAAAGACCAACGATACAGAGCCAAAGAGCAATAACTGCATGTACAGCAGTCTTACGACGAAGGCCCACCCCACCCAATACCAACAGCTAAAATACTTTTATTTTGGTCTGACTGGTCTCGGTGGGTCTACCTCGTTCCCTCGCACAGCAGGACATGCTGGTAAGAAATAAACGGCGACGGTTGCCCGAGACAAGAGGTTCTTCAATGGTGGCTATTCTGTATATCTATTCTGTGATCTTGTGAATACGGTGGTGATTTCTAACAGAGTTCCGAAGAGGCAGATGGTCGGAAAACACAGCAGCCGTCCAGCAGCGGTGCGGGTAGAGCTTGTCCTCAGCCGGGCGTAAAATAGAGTGGTCTACTATGCTATTAGCATTTACTCCTATACCTTCATAAGCAATCTTGGAATACGTGAAAAACGAACGATCCTCTCCGATCTCAATTCCACACCTGAAAGGCTGACGCCCCCGCCCCGTTGGGATGCTGCTGCTGCCAAGCAGCCACTAACGAGGCATCCAAAAACGGCGCTGGTTCGTCCCCCTCGCTGTCGCTAGATAAAGAGATGACCTACCGGGGGAGTTGGGGCAGACAAGTCGTGTAGGGCAGGTCCGCAGAGGGTGTGTCGGCGGCACCCTTGCATCCTTCATCAGCTTCACAGCTTCACAGCTTCACAGCTTCACACCTACCCACAACTATTGTACCTCTATACATGACTCCTGCTGTAGATATATCCTTTTCTAGCCATCGACACATGTCCAAAGCTACTGCCTTCACAAACCAACCCACAAAAGAAAGTGTGTTCAAATGTTTATCATGGTCGAACGCAGTTACTACTGCTCACAGGTACCGCTATCCATGGAGCGAGCGAGGTGAAGTGGACAAACTGACTTCAAAGGACGCGCATTGAAGTTGTACACAACGTGATGAAAGGAGCAATCCGGATATGGAACGTGCGCGATCTACAAGTGCGATCTTCGAGACTGCATGGCGCCCTTCTCCACCCTAGGGCAAGCAAGCGACATGGCGGAGCTGCGAATTCGTCGTGGATGTAGACTACACGAGGCACCGGTGTGATCATGACCCTATTATCACCCCGTTCCAGAGTTTCAGACCGCGTCTCTGAACACATAAATATCAAAGGAACTATCCACATCCAGCCCCAGTCAACCCACCTCGGCTGCCATGCTTTGACGACCAACACGCGCGATGCACGGGCGCGTCAGGGTGGAGGTGACGTTGATTACTGGGGTGATTGTGTGATTGTTGATGTTTTTTTTTTTTCGATGACCGGGTTGTCGGGTGTTCCACCAAACTCCGTTTTCCGCTCGTGGCGGGGACAGTCATCATGTAGACACGTTAATTACTATTATTTTTTTATTATTTTTCTTACTATGACAGATCACTTGAAATCAGTGACCCTTCTGTCTATTCAACCGCCGCACAACAGGGCGAAGCAATGCCTCTTGTCCGCTATGGTGAGCGGAAGCTGTTGTACTTCTCAACAGAAGCCGCTGCTGAAAGTCGGGGAGGCGTCGTGATTAGCGATGCCCTACCGAGTCATGCTTCGGTTGTCGCACGTCGTGCGCTGTAGCTCGAGATCGGCTTTTGACACCAAGGTCGGGCGGTGGGCTACAGCAGTACGGGCCCGGAGATAAGAAACGTCATAATCCGGTCGAGGCTCAATCCCTTATTTTGCGTCGAAGGCCCGGCCGAAGTCGCCCATTTTCTTTAAAAGGCATTTCATATTCCTTTGGACTGTCACATCCTCCTGATGCTGTTATTTCTCATTGTTCTTTAATTTCTGGCGAAGAATATGCAGCAAGTAGTCTATACAACATCACCAAACATTCATGCAGCAGCGGGTGTAAAGTAGCCCGCGCAGGCGTCGAGTAGCTACAAGCGCGGAGGTGGGGGGGGGGCAGCGCCAACAATCACTCCCCCCTACGAAAAAAAACGTTGTCCAGCTAGGTACGGGGGGAGTGTGAGCACGGAAGGAGCAGCAGTGGAACGTTTCTTATTGGATACGCTCCCCCAGCAACCCTTGTTTCTCATGTATTGGGGGTATCGCACGATCGTGTTTCTTATTGGGACGTTTCTTATATGTCGTGTCTGAGATAGAGATGTGTTTCTTAGTCCTTTTTCCTTATTTTTCGTAAAAAGTTGAGCCTTTTTTTTAACGGAATTTCGGGCCCGCACTGCTGTATGCCATGTGATGAAAATGCCTCGAGAAAAAAAAAATCGGAAAAAAATCGGTCTGGAGAGACCCAAGTTAGTGCTTGGAATTACCGGATCACCCTTATCACCCCTACAGCCGAACTT